ATTAAAGTATTTAAAAAAATTAATTTATAAAATGATTTTAAATTATTAAATAATAAATACAAATTATTTTATTTATTATTAATTAACAATTATAAAGATTAATTATTTTTAATAATAAAAAAAATACAATTATGGTATTTGTTGCCTTAAAAATTCTCCATGGGGCCACAACCAAAGCCTTAAGCCTAATCCATGAGCTTGTTCTGGATTTGGGGTAAATGCTGAACTGTTGCTGGGTGATGGTATGATTATGTCTTGTATGACCGAATAATTCATAGCTATGCTGATGCAGCCTGGAGGGGTTATGTAGAATGCAGCTAAACTTAATTGCTCTCGCCAACCACCGTGTGGCCCAATGACCGTAACTCTTTGGAAAAGAAGTGGTGGCACCAACAGGCAAGATTCAAGCTCTGGTCCCATTCCTCCCTTCCCCCAGCTGTGCTATATTCAAAAAAAAATTTAATTGCCTCATCACATATGTTTTTGGTAGTTGGGTCATCGCAAACTCACTTCTGGGGCGGACACTATCAATATGGTAAAATGACCAATATAATTAGATACATGGGTAATATTTATTTTCTCTCATATCCCTGACAATGTTAAATGGTCAAATGGTCAATGCGTGAAGATGTTACTTTTATTATTAACAAATGTAATTATATAAATGCCAATGATTCAAGTAGTTTATTGATCATTTTTTTTTTTGTTAGAAGTAAGATATCTTAAATTCGAGTCGTATAGTATGTGGGTGTGATGAGATAAAAGATGAGAGATGGTTGCTTTTTATTATGCAACTAATATTAAAAAAAAAAAAAACAATGTCATTATATAAGTGATTTTTTTCATTTAAGGGTTAATTTATAATATTTTATGTATTAATTTATTTAATTACATGTCATTTTTATTTAATGTCACATTATAATTATAAGTTTATAATTCTATATGGTATTATAACTAAAGATTATCATAATTTTTTTATGAAAATTAGAACTTATATATAATATTTTCTAAAAATATTACAATTAAGATAAGACAGTATATATTAATTTTAACTCTCATTCAAAAAATAAAGTTTAAATTTCAAAAACATTACCCTTCAATCAATATGAACACTTATATTTTTTAATATCTATAATTATTTCATAAGAAATTTTATATTTTT